AATATATGGGTGGTTGACCCATTAATCTTTAAATATGGAAGTTTATACAGAAGTGTTGGATTGTTTAGTTTATAATATATAGAAGTCTGGATTCTTATGCTGAATGTAGTTTTGTTAAAGGGACGGACGGTCCCATTTGTTCTTGTATGGAATGGTGTTAATATAGAAGTGTTTGTTTTGTTTATAACCATGCTAGTTTTGAGTTATTCTAAAAGTGGAGAGGTTATGTTGAAATTTGTACTTTTGATTATTTGTTTTTTGAGTTTAAGGTTAGTTTTACTTGCCTATTAGTTTTTGAGTTTCAATAATATTGAAAATTATTTTGTGAGAATAGGTTGGAAGGAGATATATTGGTTGGTTAGTTTTGAGTTATATTCTAAATTGGAGAGGCATGATGAAATTTGTACTTACTTTTGATTGTTTGTGTTTTTGTTAAGCTTTTATAGAATAGGTTGGAAGGGAGAGATATATTGTTGGCTAGTTTTGAGTTATTCTAAAAGTGGAGAGGTTTTGTTGAAATTTGTACTTTTGATTATTTGTGTGGTTATTTGTGTTTTGAGTCTAAGGTTAGTTTTTGAGTTAAGTTTTATAATAGATATTGTTTTATAATGGATGAATGTGTTAAAAGTTTTAGTTGCATATTGAGATATTATCATAGGTTTGAAGGAAATATATATAGTTAGTTAGCCACGTCTGGGCAACCAAATATTTTTTTAATTAATTTATTCACAACATAATGACGGTCAATGCCTGTCACGAAATATAGTCATTCCACGACGAACAGACGATGGCGTACAAACAATGACACACATACAATGTCGGTTGTCACCCGTCACGGTTATCATTTCATGACGGGCATGTCCGTCATGAAAAACGCTATACATGACGGGCGCTGCCCGACCTTAAAATAATACTTTCATGACGGCCATGTCCGGATGAAAAGAGAATATACATGACGGGCAATGCCCGACCTTAAAACTGTCCAACATGAAAGGGAAACAAGGACACTCGTATAGATGTCGGTCAGTGACCGACATGGTTATTATTTAATGACGGGCAATGCCCGTCATGAAAAGGTAAATTTGTTGTAGTGGAATGCTGGGGAGAGGGCCAAATCCGGATTCCGAATCCTGGTCCGAATCCTTGACTTATGAGCGTTGTCTTTTCAGTTTGCCTAGAAAGAAAATTGTTGTTACAAGTTTGATCTTGAGAAAGCTTACTGAGTTTTAGTTGCTCAGGTTTTATGGAATCTAAATGAGAACGTTTATTACTTCAGTTTTATGAAGTTTATTTCAAGAACTAAATTTTCAATTGTTTATGAAAGAACGTTGATGAAATTATTTTCTTATTAACCTACCACTCACTCAGCTTCCCAGCTCACTGTTTATGTTTTGTTTTTTCCCCCAGGCTGTAGCTGAGTATCTGAGTTTCTGAGTTTCAAGAAGAATTTAGTTCAACTTCTGCCATCCAGAGTAGTTGAGGATTTACATATCACTTTGTACGTACATGTAGTTGTAAAAGTGTAGAACCCTTTCAAAAAGGAATGTATATAATGGATGTAAGAAGTGTCGTTCTATTAAGATTATTATTTTATTGTGCATCCATTCGGAGTTGTTAATCAAAGTTCAGGTCAAAGATAAGAAGAAGATGACCATTGACTTTGTAGTTAGTCGGGGTCTGTGGTCGGCGCCACTCGTTCCAAGACTAGTAGGTGTTTTGGGACAGGTCATGTCAAAAATCTATTTGGATAATTGTATGCTATCCTATAGCAAAGATAGCCAATTATGACTTAGTTTTTATATGTGTCATGCATATAGTTTAAAGTCTAATTGGAGAATTGTGTGGTTATCCTGCAGCGAAGGTAGCCAATTAAGATTTGGATAAGTAGATTGTTTTTGCTTGTTATTGTTCAACATCTGTGTTGTTCATAGACCAGTTTTATTTGGGTAAAGTCTTTAGTATTTGGAAAATCTAAAAAACCGTTTGGTATTGTCTTCTTGCTTTGTTTTTGTGAAAGAAAGGTTTTGTGTGAATGATTCGAGGGAAAGAAAAAGATCTTAGGTGTTATTTATTTGTAACTACAAGTTGAGTGTTTCTTTTGGATTGGGATGCTTTCTTGTAGGCCGTTATCATTTTGTTGAGCTTGGGTTTTGTATTCCTTTTCTATATTCTTTCATGTTTCTCAATGATAATTTGGATTCTTCTCAAAAGAAGAAAAAAAAACTGAAGCAACATTTGGAGCACGTTTAGAGCATCTATATGAGAACTGTTTACGATTCTATTCAAGTTAGTTTCTTGAGAGTGGACCACATTCAATAAGTAGACAGTGAACTTGTTATGTACTCTATTTTTATTTTATAATGTTGGATATATTTTCTACCAATGTTGTATTAAATTATGTTAGTATCATTTTGAATCTATATTCTCTGTTTATTTCTTATTATTTTTATTTTTACAGAGCTTGCCTCAAAAATTGAAGAAACACTGCATGATCGCCCTTGAATTTTTAACCTTATAAGGTGATGGACAAAGTAGGCAAGGGAAGGAGTTATCACCATGGTGTCGGGGTTGCAACTTCAATGTTTAGCTTGGTTCCAGGTAAACACCAAATAGTTGTCTCTAGCTAGCATCAAACTTTTTGCACTATTTTTCCTCCAATTTATTTAGCTTGACCTAGTTTCCTTTTTATTATTCTTTTCATATAGAAAATAATTCATCAATAACTTTTTTTATTCTTCCTTTTCATATAGAAAATAGTCCATCAATGGTTTTGGTAAACATAGAAAGATTGAAAAAGTTTACATAAATTTATCTAACATGGATATTGTTTTCTTCATTAGGTCTTTCACAAACTCAAATAAGTCAAGAATTAGAAATGCAAAAAATTGATGAATGGGCTTCTTTGTTGGGTTAGTGTGTGAGACATATGTTCCATTATGTATTTGTACTTGGTAGTAATTTGTACGATGAATGTGTAAAGAATATTGTATCACACTTTGATCATATATAAATGTTCAACTTTGTCATATAAAATTGTATTTTGCTATGTTGATGAACAACGAAATAGGTTGCTTTTCTCGATTTTTAGCAAAGAAATAATTCTTTAGGGTCGTCTTTTAGCAACATAAAGTTTTATGACGAATTTTAAAAGTCACGAAAACGGTTTTTTTGTGATGGCGTTTGAAATATCTCGAAATAATTTACTGTGAAAAGATGTCACGTGACCTTTCCTCGCTACCCAAGGTCTTTCCGTGATGTTGTATAACCATAACAAAATCAAATGTCGTCACGGTTACTCATTTATAGTGACCTTTTTTAAACGTCACGAAAAGTCTTAATCGCGACATTCTTAAAACGTCACGAAATCATTTTTTATGATGTTTAACAAAAGTCGTGGAAGACTATGTTTTTCATGACGGTCTTTAACCGTCACGAAACATTTTTGCTACGTTAAAAAAACGTCAGGATAAACCGAATTTCTACTGGTGTTTATTTTATGGCTTTGAAAATTTAGCTTTTAAACAATAATTAATTATAGTGAGGTGTTTCTTTCCTTTATATTATCTCCGTTTTAGAAATATTTTCAAAAGTCGAATTTCCACAATAAAAAAAAAGAAAAAAAAACAGTAGTTTTAAAAACTTGTCTTCTTTTTAAAATTTAGTTAAAAATTCAAATAAATTGGGGGCGGGGAGTTGACATCCATTCTAAAAATAGAAAACTAAAAACAAAATAATTAACAAATATGTTCTTGTTTTTTAAATTTGACTAATAATTCAAATGTGATTTTAGAAAATAAAAAAAAATACCAAAATAAATTACTTCCTCATGCACTATTTTTAAAAACAAGGGCTAAAAGTCAAATCGTTACCAAAGGCTAAATTGTTTATTTTGCGAGACCAGGTTAACTAATTGCATCGAATATATGGATCATTTTTGTAATGGGCAATATGCAGCAGAGATCAAAGGATACTTTTACTTGTACATAAAAATTATTTGGATGGAATCATAAGAGGGGAAAAGGTCAATGAAAATATTGATACATAGTTCTTCTCCAAACAAAACTTGTAAGTAAAAGAAAATATTAAAATCTATAGCCTATAAACAGAAACGAAAATGGAAGGAGATTGATAAATAACATAAAACTGCAAAACGGGTACATATTTATTATTATTATCCTCTTTTTTTTTTATATATCTATGTGTTTGGGCTAACTTGCGTGCCTTTTGACTAATCACGAGACAACCACTTGAACTTACTATATTTGGTTGCCAAGAAAACTCATAGAATATTAAATCTTAGGTAGATGACTCCTCCAAACCTAAGTTCTCTAACCTACATAATAGAGATGGTCCATCCCTATTATGTAGGTTAGAGAACTTAGGTTTGGAGGAGTTATGCGCACTTCTTCACAAATATTGGGAAAAGGTTTATTTTTGTGCCTAGTGTGTCAATTTTAACCTACATAAATTCTCAAATCTAGGATAAAAAGCATCCAACACCATCAAAAGAATGAGTACCTATATAAATGAAGTCTTAACTTGGATATCCATTTTATCACTTATTTAAGTTTAGGGTTCAATTCCATTAAATTGAAAGTTGTTAGAATAGGGAGTATAATCTGATTTCATTCCCCTGATTGTTAAACACACCTTTTAGTACATCTTCTTGGTCCTCTCGGACTTGCCTTGTCGATCCAACACCAGGAATCGGCCAGAACACGAAGATGTTGAGAAATTAATAGCCTTAAATAACTTCTTGTGCACAAGAATATCCAAACACACACCACAATATGCAATTGAGGAAGAAACTGTAAAATACAAGAATACGACAGAAAAAAAATTATACTGGTTCACCAATTAAGGGTTACGTCTAGTCTTCCACCCTGAGTAATTCACTAATATTGTCAAAAATTGGATTACAATAAACTCTGCCCAAAAATATCTTATAGAGGTCCCCAAAAATACAATTACTTAGTTACAGGAATGAAAATATTCATAGAATAATCGAGAACAAGTTACCCCTAAATAATGATCTTGATCTCCCAAATCTGTGATGAAAATACTAGAGCTACTGCCACAAATATGCTTCCAAAATCTCCATCAAAGTCGGTTGCTAAAAAACCCAATTCACGGCTACTACTTTGTTCCACAGCCACCCACCAACACAAAGTGAAATATATATGTGTGTTAAAACAAAAATAGGGCAACAAAAGTTTGGTCTCTTTGCATGGCCCAAAGACTGTCACTCCTCATTCATTTTTTCTTTCTTTTTTTATAATTATTTTGTATTCAATTCCCAACAATCGACTACTTGGAGACAAAATAACAATTTTGCCTCCCACCGCATCAACAATGTCCCATCTTGCCAACCTAGCCAAGATTCAGTTCTAACTGCTCTATCAACGAACTGATCCATACTGCTCGACCCTTCCAAGCTCTATCTAATTCTGCCCCGAGACTGGGCGACTCTACGTTGGCTTGTCCCTCAGACTTAGAGACATAGCCACGTACTTGTTGGGTGTGTTGCCCTAAACTCGTAGTTTGTATCATGTAAAAACAAATGTATATTCAATAAAGTTTTATTCAATAATTTTGTTGTTGAAACATAGCATTTCATTGTCTAAATCCAATGAACTAAACATCCAAGGTTATTTTGATTTAATCGGGACAGTATATATATTGGGTATATAGTTGATATACGGGGTATATATTTGATATACCCCTGATATATGAATAGATAATGTCTCGTGAATAACCTAAAGGGTCTATAGTATATGGATAAGGCTGGGTACCTTATCTTGGCAACACTATGGATACGGCCCACTCTGTAAAGGTTACAGACGACTCGATCCAGGTCGTTCGTGTGGAGACATGCGAGTGGGGGTATCCTATACAATGAGTTTTTGTATAAGACCGGACCACGAAATAGGCAATCTTTAGATGTAATACCGTTAACTAATAGGTTGTTATTTCTTAGGATGACCAGACAACTCAGTCTCAATCCTGAGTGAGTTATGGACTCCTGCCCGCGAGGGCTCGTCCTTTGATCTGTATGGGTGGGAGTGGCCCGAGTTGCCGACTCAATATTCCTACCATTTTGGGGA